GTCCTTGTATCAGTAATGTTTGTTGAATTTTGTAAACTGCCTTTCCAACAGACTAAGGACATAATCATGTGATTATTTCCCTAGATGTTTTGGATTTCCTAAAATCAAACTCTCCTTGCATTTCTGAAATAGACTTTCCTTGATCATAATGTATTATTATTTTTATTTACTTATTTTCAGTTTGCTGGTTGGGAGTATCAAAATTCCTAAGTGAGATTGCTTTACAATAATCCTAACAAATTCCCATATTGTACCCAAATACCACGATTTGCAATTCACTCATTAGTTCCCTATTCATGACTGCTTAGATTATTCCCATTTTTGTTAATGTTAATGCTGACTATAATTTGGAGATTAAACTTTTTACCTTCCTGTGTTTATTATCCTATGAAATATTTATAGACTGGATTGTTGGATTAAAGAAATTCTCATTTAATATAAAATATTACTGTTTCTCATAAAGGGACACTAGAATTTTAAACTGGACTTGGAGCTTCATTAATATCTTTGCCTTAGAAAAAGTACTGAAAGATTGCTCTCTTAGGAGACAGGGATACAACTTTTCTGTCTCGTTTTCAAACTTCAGCATAAGGTTTACAAATACTGTGAAAAGTATCATAAGGAAGTCTTAAGTCAAAGGTCATGGTTTATTGCTTATAGTCTATATGCTTATAATTTTGATGTTCCAATTTCTCCAAATAAAGAGGGACCAAAATTCTGAAGCTCAGAGAATTTTTTGAAGAAAATAGAAATAAAATTTTTATAAAAATGCAATGCATCCTTTACTATGATAGAAAAATTTGACCCTTTTCATTTACCAAAGAAACTAATCATTTAACTTGTACACAAAAGACTTAATCTGATATATAACTAAGAAGCATTACTTCATCCAAGTGGGATGGAGAGAGGAAAAAGAGCCTATTACTGATTACTGTGGTGGATACTTTCATAAAAGACCCAAAGGCATTTTTGCCCCTTCCTCCTTGAATGCCTCTCAATATGTAGCTGAAAAAAAATCATATAACTCATTTTATTCATCTCCCTTAGAAGCAGGATTATAATTGGTTCTCTCGTTGGAAATCTAAAGGGTGGTCTGCAGGGAGAAGGAATCCTCTGGAGATTTCTCCTTTATCAAAAAGAAGAGCTTGTCTTTTGTCCCATTCTGCTTCCTTCAGTTGCTGCCTTTGAACGTTGTTGGGTAAGGATAGAATGCCTGGAGCAGAGACAGCCATCTTGAAGCCATGAGACAACAAGTCAACACACCATCTGCAACCATGAGACAGCATCCTAAGAATGGCAGAACAAAGGGTAGAGAAAAGCCTGGAGCCTTGATGAAACTGTTGGGTGAAACCTGGTAATACGTATCATGACAGTTCTGTAATAAACAACACACATCCTAAACAACTGTTAGTGAGGTATTTTTGCATCGGTACATATAAGTATCCTTAATGAAATAAGTAAAAACTACTTCTTTACAGGCATTATGTACCTGATTCCTTACAACCACACAATGAGGACCTTCTCTTCCAGAATGGGCAGGACCCAAGAACTTGGCTAATCTTGGAATTCCAAATATTGGTGCTTTGGCAGGGGTGTAGATGACCCCAATAGTCAACAAGCACTTGTTTTACTCTCCTAAATTGGGATAGTCAGGGGAAAAAAAAAGAAATAAAAAAATCTAAGAGTTTGCTGAAGGTAAATTCAGCTGGATAACATGTCACCAGCACTTTTTTTTTAAACAGATGACTGTAAGGCTCTGAGCATAACTCAGTTGTAAATGATGAGGTTGGGATTGGACCCAAGTTCTGATCTCTTACCAGAATAACTCTAATTCTCTAATACCATCCTATTCGCTGCCTCCACATAGGGAAGGAATGATTCTTCCCATCTATGTAGAACATTTGGCTCTCCAATATATACTAAATTACAGAAAAGGGAGTGGACAAATATTATATTGTGACTACAAAAGGACTTTAGCTTTAATGGAAGATACTGGTCAAATTTTGGATTTGTTTAATATGCAATATAATAGATTAGTAATGCATGCTGGTCCTCTGACTCTCAGGAGGAAAAATTGAGCTGCAGCTACTTGCCATTTCTGGCAACTGCTAAGTTTGAGTTACACCCTACAGTAATTATGAGACATAAAAAAGAAAAACACTTTCAGAATTGTGATGCTAGACACAAACTCATTGTGCATTTTCATGCCAATCATACATAACTAAAGGAAAATTAAATTACCTAAGAATGTAGCCTAAGGAAAAGGAAAAATTACGTGTGCAATTTAAGAAGCTGTAAGGTGATGGACCTCCAATACTTGGATTCTACTTCAAAACTTGAAAAGAGTGCTCAAGAAATTAAAGAAGTCCTCCGCCCCCCCCCCCCGCCTAAAAAAAATATCTGGATGAATATTGGCAATGTGTAGGTATATCTTGTTTCAACTGATGAAAGATAATAATAAAAAACATATTTCATGAGACAGTAACTCAAACTGTCTTAATTTTCTGACTTAATTTTCCCCATTACTAAAAGGAACAGCCTCATCAGTACTGAGATACCCAGGAGGTTGCCATGGTGCACAATGGTTTCTAGACTACACATCAAGGGGCATTAAGGAGAGTGAGTCAAGGAGTACATAGTCAGCACTATGCTTTTCAGTAGAAATGCTTCAATTCCCACCATGCTGAAATATAAACTGTCACACCCTTCCAGCTAATGAAACTCTAACATAGAAATCTGATCTTTCTACTTTCCCTGGGATTTAGGATAGACATTGTTCATGATAGAAGGAATAATGATGAACACAAGAGTAGTTTTCCGATGAAAAAAAAACATGAGAATCAAAATAAGAAATGCAGTAGAGGCAGAATAAAATAAACCAAAAGTAAATAAATAAATTAATAAATGAAACCCAGAAGCTGGTAACTTGAGAGGTATTATTCTAGAACTCAATATTGGTGCTTTGGCAGGGTGTTGGTGAACCTGACCAGCCCCTGCCCCAATATGATTATTTTACTGAAATTGGATAGAAGATTTACTTTCCTGTCTATAATGGGTTAACCTAACATTAAAGAATTTTTCAACATGAAAAAAAAAAGAGAGAGACAAAGAAACCTTGAAGGACAGATGTAAGAGAACCAAATGTGTAAGTAGAAAGAGATCCACAAAGAAAGAAAGCAAAAAAAGAAAAAAAAATTCCAGAAACAGTAGATGAAGGGTTGGGAATGTCACTCAGCATATTCAAGGCTCTGAGTTTGATCCTGACACCAACAGAAAAACAAACAGTAGATGAAATTTCTTTAGAGGTAGACATACCCTAATAAAGTTCAAGGACAATAGAAATGACCTACAAAAACTTGCATTTACACACACACACACACACACACACACACACACACACATAAAAAGTAAACCAAACTTAGCTGAGTATCAGACCTCTGTTCTAGAGGTCTGAGAGATATAAAAATGTTTAAGCAAAAGGACTTTTTATACCCACTGAATTGTACACATCCCCCCCCCAAATAAACTATTATTAGGTAAAACAATAATAAGTAGATATCCGCAGACATTAAAAATCTTTGAAAGTATACAACTCAGGTATCTTTTCTGATGAAGAGTGATTGCATAAGTTCTTTAGCTGACTAGAACATGAATCAAAAGAAAGAATTTAGGCAAGTGAGGAAAATTGGTCTAAGAAAGAAATTTCAGTGAAAGGAGGAAAATGGCTTATGTTTTGGATTTTTTTAAATAGCAGACTGTGTGGCAAAGTTCCTCAGAAGTTTGTGCAAACACACACATTATAAAAATTCCTGTGTTATACCAAGTGAAGGAGCTGACCTTTCAAGGGTTTGAGTCAGGATAATAGAAAGAGGAAAGACTATAAACCATCAAAACACTTGAAATTCTTTTCAACATGCTATGTAGGACCTAAATAAACACTTGTGTGCAAAAGGTTTTGAGGTCAGGAAAGTAGATTACTGGGCTTTATTTTTGAACACCTTAAGGAGAGTCGAGATCTCTCTCATCAGAGTGTCTTTTCTGGGGTCTCAAGCTTCAACCAAAACATACTTGGAGTTGGGCTGGGAGAATCATCAGTGTCCATAAATACTGAGTGTGTGACAAAGGGGACAGGTAAAAGGCTTGATACTGAGATGGAGGAACTCCCAGATCCTGCTGTGGCACTCTAGCGGATAATAAGTCTTTTCCCAGAAACCTTTGCTACCAAGGGTGTGGACTGGTGCAATGTCCACTGGTCCATTGCTCTTTCTCCTGAAGTGGGAGCTTCCATCTTCTCATGCTTTCTCTACTTTCGCTGCCTCTGCCTCAACACTTCAAGTAGGAACCCTGTGCAAAAAGTTGTCCTAGGGACTCTGATAGCTTCAGTGTGACCTGGACAACTTCTTCAGAGGCACATATCTGCCTTTCTCAGTAACTGAACATCCTGATTCATCAGCATCTTGGTGACGTACTCTCCCTAATGGGCCTTAAGACTCCAGAGGATCTGGAGGGGTTTCAGTAAGGGGCTTAAAGGGAATGTTTTGGAAGCTGTGGAGTCAATGAAGATAACTTGCCTCATTGCAGTCTTGCCTCCAAATGTTTTTGTTTTGGTTTGGTTTGGGTGCTTGGAATTAAACCCAGGGCCTCCAGCATGCTGGGTAAAAATTTTCCTACTCATCCAAACTCCTACTCCAAATATTTTCAAACAACTATGGAGGACCTTGCATTCACTATGCCACTTAGTTTGGGGTCCATGATGCTACATGTATATTCTTCATAAGTCATAGTATACCTATAACTTGCAATCCTACATCCAGAACAAGAAACTGGCATGTGCCTTGGCCCTGAGCCTCCTCCTTCCCATCTGTCATCATTTTCCTTGGCAACTTCTGATATTTTCCAAAGCAGAGTATTCTCTGGGAGAGTTTAGAAGGTTAATTTTTTTTTGTCTTTTATGATGCAAAGTTTTAGGCTCTTACTCATCAGCAAAGCCCACATTCTGGAATGCTCACAGTAGACCTCACTTTAGCCACAACAAAAGCAGCCTTCTGTGAAGGGGTAGGACTCATCCAACTTGTTTTTTTTTTTTTTTTTTTCTCCAGGGCAGCTGCCTTCTTCTTTTGGGGGCCATCTGTCACAAGATTTTCTCTTTCTTTGGCGGTATGAGGGTGACATAAGTACCCTAGTAGGGGACTAGTGCTTCTTTAGAAAGCTTCTCAGTTCAAAGATGCATTGCCTTTGAAGAAAACCAATGGTGCCTGGGAAACCTCCACATCCATATGAATGGAAAGTCTCCAAAAATTGAGGTGAAGGAAGAAAAGAGACATTGAGAACAGTGTTTGATGAGAGATGAGCTTGGGAGTGGCTCATGGATGAAATGAAAGTGAGGAAATCCATTCCCCAAAGATTGGGATATGCCCTTCTGCTTGGGTTCCACTACAGACCTATGTAAAAACTTTTAAAAACATAGGTAAGGTAGACAATGCAATTTGATATAAAATTATCTTTCTTTAATCAAGCAGATATATGGTATAAAATACAATGAATAATAAGCTATAAAAACCTTTGCATAAATCTGTGAGTTTGTTGTTTTAGAAAACATAATCGTGAGGTAAAAAAAAGGATAGAAAAAGATGCAAAGATGACTTAACACTTGGCAGACTATTAGTACAATTTGCTAGGCTGATGAAGTTTCATCCATCTTAATTAAAATACATTCTTTATGAAATGAGAGCAGAGATATATTTACTAGACCTGAAAGAGTATTGTGTTAAGCCAGCAATCTGTGAAAGGCTAACTGGGAAACATTAGAGGTACTCACACTAGAAGAGGACTCTGGTTACCTTAATTTGGGTGAAGGAAGACAGGACAGATGAGGAAACAAATTTAGGATTATTAAATCATATGTTAGATAGTAGTAGGAGCCTGGAACATACAAGGCATTTGAGATGGGCATGTGAGAGTGCTGAGAGGAGACAATGGCCATACAGTTTCTCAGGGGAAAGGCCTTGTAGATAAAGAGAACCACAGCTAAGGCTGTGGGTTGGTGATGAGGTTGGGAAAATAAGATGAAGAGGGGAGGGAGCAGATCCCATAGGTTCAGTAGGCTCTTGTAAGGACATTTTACAAGGAAGGACATTTACTCCAAGATAGATAGAAAGCACTGGAGTATTTTGAGCCAAGGAATAACATAATACAATGTTTTTTGACAGAATTACCTGGGCTACTCTGTTGAGAATAGACTAAAGGAGGCCAGGGCAGAAGTAGAGGGCAGGGGAGCAAAGAAATAGATGATAGCAGACTGTTACAAAAATCCAGGCCAAGAGATGGTGAAGGTGGGACCAGAATCATATTGGAAGCATGATCTGATTCTGGGTATCTATTCAAAATTAGAATCAACTGGATTGGTTTATAGAATATTTTTTGGCAAATGGGAGAAAAAGAAATCAAGGATGAGTCCAAGAGTTTCACGCTGAGCAAGTGGATTTGCTAGTGCCAAAGAAAAAGAAAACTGCACGAGGAGTAAGTTTGGTTAGTTTGGTTAGATTCTGGCTTTTATTTGTTGTTTGTTTGTTTATATGCAGGGGAAACATTTTGGTCATGCTGAGTTCCACGTGACTATTGGATTCCAAAATGAAGATATCAACTAAGCAGCTGGATCCATGAGTGCAAAGGTCAGGGGAGATCTATGGCTTGGAGAGAGACAGGAGAGAGTCTTCCACTGGGGAGAGGGCACTCCGAGCCATGACCTAGATGAGATCATCAAGACAGCAGGTTTAGACAAAAAGTAAAGAAATGGAAAGTCTGAGTCCTTGGACGGTCCATCACCAACAGCCCTGAGACGAGGAGGAAGGGCAAAGGAGACTAAGAAGAAAAGGAAAAGAGGCAGAAGGAAGGAAAGGAGAGAGTGATATGTGGAAAATCAAAGGAGAAAATGTGTCAAGATGAAGAAGAGCAAAGTAAAACCAGGATTGATAAAAGATGAGCTGATTAGTAATGTGCTGCTTAGTGCCCTTGCCCAGAGCATTCTCAACAGAGTTATGGTGATGAAAGTTTTATTGGAGGGGGTTCAAGAGAGCCTGGGAGGACAGAAATTGGAGTTAGCCTGAGATTTGCTTTAAACAGAAGGGAAGAATGAGGTTTCAGCTAGTAGCCTTCAAGAAAAGTTTTTTTTTTTTTTTTAACTGTAAAAGACGGGTAAAATAAAAGAAATTTTAAAGGGGGAAAATAGAAGATTTTTACTGGAATTGGGAATATAAGACTATCACATTTTTTCCAGGAAAAATAAACCACTAATTGGTGGAATATTTTCAGATCTTTGGGCACTCTGCCTCTGACCACCTTCTTTAAGGTCAGAATCAGGAAGAAATAGCTCAAAGTTATGGAAGAGAAAAAAAAAAAAAAAGATCTTTCCAGAACAGTATGGCAGTATGGTGACCACCTCTGGCTTCCATTTATAAGACAGTCTTATCTCCTACCAGCTTTCTTATCTTTTTTGGCAGTAGTTTCTCCTCCCTCCCTCCCCCACTGCCCAGTCCTCCCTCCTTATCCTGAAAGCCAATGGGAAACAGCCCCTCTGAATTAAGCCCCTTAAATTTTGTGTTCTTCCATGAAAATCTCTTTGGAGAAAGAAATCTCTTCTGAAGAAAAAAAATTGGTATTGCAAATAGCACAGTTTATTTTTTGAGGAGCAAGAGGCCATGAACAGTCAGAATCCGTGAGCTAATAAAAGAAAATATTGTCTCCTGCCATCAGAGATCAAGAGGAGTGAGTAACAGCCAAAAGAGAAGTCATTATTCTGAAATTCTCAAAGTCATAACTTCTTAAAACTCAAAGTCCAGTCCATGCAAAACAGAGTTCATGATCAAATAAATTTGTTGAACACTTTATACTAATCTACTTCTTCCAGACACACAGACACTCTCTGAGGATTTGCAATGGTGATATGATAGGCTGAGAAACACAAAAGAAAACAAACATACATTTAAAAAAAGTAACCTAACCTTCCCGTTCTTGTTGTTGAACAATTTAGACTAAATAAAACCATTAGGTAAGACCAAGCAAAGTAGGTTTCTACAGGGACTGGCTGGGGGTGCAGAGTTCATGTGGGGTGAGGTGGGTGTTCATGTGCAGAGGACCTATCCTAAGAATGTGCATGATTGGTTATACTTCAACTAAATATAGGGTACAGTTTTCTCACTGAGAAGGTAACCTCAAAAGTGATATTGAGAAGCTGGGTTCAGTGCTGAATGCCTGTAATCCCAGTGGTCAGGAGACTGAGGCAGGAAGATCGTGAGTTCAAAGCCAGCCTCAGCAAAAGTGAGGTGCTAAGCAACTTAGTGGGACCCTGTCTCTAAATAAAATAAAAAAACTAGGCCGGGGAATGTGGCTCAGTGGTCGAGTGTCCCTGAGTTCAATTCGCGTTACCAAAAAAAAAAAAAAAAAAGTGATACACAGAAAACTAGAAAGAACCATGAAGTATTAGAATAGGAGGTATTGGTGTAAATAGCTCTATGCATTAGAATTGGAGGCCTACAGATAAATACAGGCTTACCTGTGTGTGATCTACATATGAGTGTATGTAAGTGTGTGTGTGAATTTAAAACTACACACCCTTGTTTAATCCACCATGAAGGACTGGGAACAGGGTCACACAGTAGCAATGACCACAAACAGAGTTTGACTTCCAAGTATTCTTCTCTAGCAGGCTTCTTGAGAAATGGCTTCTCAAGGTGGAAACAAGGGAAATACAGATGATCTTGAAATATCTTGTTTTGCCAAGAAGAAAGGGAATGCTCAAAGAATAAGAAGATATGTCTAAAGGACATTGAAGCCAATTGGAGCTAATAAAAGAAAATATTATTTTCTGCCATCAGAGATCAAAAGGAGTGAGTGATCTCTGGGCAACCTAGTGAGAAACTCTCTCAAAAAAAAAAAAAAAAAAGAGAGCTGGATATAATTCAGTGTGGTAGAGCAACCATGGGTTCAATTTCTAGTGCCATAGCAGGAGTGGGGGGGAGAAAAAAAAAAAGAGGCTCCCACAGGCCAAATCCAGGAAAGCCAAATAAACAATGAGAGCAGTGGAATAAAAGGAGATCCTTGAGTCCATATTGAGACAAATACATGAACGGGTTGAAAGTTTAATGAAGAAGGAGATATGTACACGGTTTAAAAATACCTCCCTACAAAATAGGTATTAATTGCAAAGGAAAGAATTATCACTTTGCAGTGAAGAAGAAACCTGGAAGAGAACAGTCAACCAAATGATCCAAGTGAACATCAGGATGCCAAAAATAAGGAGTATTACCTCTGAGCTATTCCTGCCAAAGGTAAGCAACTTGAATCTAATATGAGGAAACCACAAGA